TTATTATATATTGAAAAACGAAAATTAAGATATTATTGAAATAATTGAATTGTAATATGGTTAAAATCGTCCAAAAAATTATTATCACTTGATTTGATATTTAATATATTATTATTATTATTATTATTATTATTATTATTATTAACAAAAAGGTATGTCCATATCACCGAACGTCACGCTATCTATATTTTTATTGGCGATTAAAAAATAAATATAAATAAATCCTAAATTAAAGGACACTAGACTTAGGATTTTATTATTGTTGTAGCCAAATAATTCTTGGAATAAAATAATTCATGTAATCAATTAAATATTAAGGGAAAAAAAAGATGAGATTAATGAGATTTATTAGGTAGGGATATATAGTTCCATAGGCAAAGTGCGGCACGTCATTTATTTAATTTCATTAAAAGATCTAATTAATGATCATGTGATTGATTAGTACTTTTTTTTTTTTTTTTAATATTATTATATTGAAAATTCTTAAAATTGTAAAAGTTTAAAGTAACTTTTTTAAAAAAATTTTTTTACTCCATCTGTCCACAACTACCTGAAAAGGGAATTTCAGTAAAAGTAATTTAGTGAGTTATCTTTCAAGAGTGAATATCTAGGAGGGTTAGTATAAGATTAAATCCTCTAATTTAGGAAAAATACCTAAAATTGTTTCATTAACTAATATTATATTTATTCTATTATTTTTTATATAACTGGTTATCTAACTAGGGGTGAACAAAAAATATCCGGAATCCGATCAGAATCGAAACGAACCATCCGATTCAGTAAGATTCTATTAAAAAAACACCGATTCTTGTTTCTTTTAATTGGTAAGCGGACCAAACCGAATCTATTCTGGATTCTTCTTACTAGACAGCAAGTTATCCAAATTCTTGATTTTAAAAGAATATGATAATTATTGTTTCGCGCGTTTTCGCTCGCTAACAATTAAAAAAGGGAATCGGACGATTGTGTAAGGGACAAACCTCTTGAAACAAAGTCCCAAAAAGGGGGCGTT